AATCTTGGCTTAGGAATCACAAGCTTGGAAAACACAACATATGTGCAGTTTATTTGCTTCCTGGTTATGTTGCCTTTCAAATGTGCTGCCCTCATAATTTAAAGTTCTACCTGAAAACATGACAGGAAAATGACTTTTAAAAATGCAGAAAGATTTTTCAGGAAGCTACAAAGCACAACAGAAGCTTGGCAATGGCGTATGGCCTGAACCCTTCTCCTTATGGTATCATAATAGAAAAAAGCAAGTTATTATACTGCTAATCTTTATTATCTGCCATCGACTCTGGGCTAAGCCATTCTCTCACAGCTCTTCCCATCCATAAAACTGTATAGGAGACACTGCTTTGTATCATCTTCTAAGATTTTGACATTTTGAGGTGAGGAGTGCCTGGTGCTCTGTCTTAAGTAATAAATAACTTTAGATAAGAGTCTATTGTGGCTGAGTATGATGGTAACACACTATTGTGTTTGGACAGGGAGGAGGGGAAGCTTTTATTACTTGCATCCTGACCAATATAATGCTGGGAGTTCATTTGCCGTCCTCTGGGCTTTTTCTTTCCAAGTCCGACTTCTGCTGAAGTTTAGCATGTTTTGGTGTTGCTGTCAGTCTGTTCAGGAGTCCTGTCTTCCTGCCAATGCAGATCATCTTATATTTGTGAATGGTGTGTTGCTGTTCTTAAGCTACCTAGCTCTCTTTAAGACATCTTTTTGCACACATTTGTTTTTAATCCTCCGGTACCCAAGGGTAATTAACCCAAGCAATGTTGACATGCAGCCATGGATTTTATTAGCGCTGGGATCAATGCTTTGCTCTTTAAGTGCTTTGCAGTTTAAGAAATGTGGGGTGCTTTTACTGAAGAGATTGAAAGGTTTTGTTTTTAGTTTTTGTAAGTTGAGTTGCTAGATGGAAGAAAAGTGTCTTCATGTTCCGTTTGCTGTGGCACTTTGGATTTCTGCACAGTTGCTGCAGATCTCTGTGGATTGACAAAATACATACAATGTGGCGTTGATATTGATGATACTTGTAACTAATTCTGAATTAAACAGAATCGGCAGTATACATTGTGGTAACTTGTTTAAAATGCAGTTTCCTGCTGGGCTTTTAGCTACTTTATATTGACATGCTATGTACACAAACATCCTAAGTCCCCTCAGGCCTGAAAAATGTTTCAAGCTGTAAGGCTTTAAGAGAACTTATAATTTTCTGTCATAAATTACACAGTGCAAGAATCTGAGATGTTAAAGCATAGAATAATGGAATTATAGAGTTGGAAAGGTTCTTGAGAGTCATCTAGTCCAACCCCCTGCAATGCAGGAATCTCAACTAAATCATGCATGACAGACGGCCAATTAGCCTCTGCTTAAAAACATCCAAGGAAGGAGAGGCCACCACCTCTCATAGGAGTCTGTTTCACTGTTGAACAACCCTTACTGTTTCGTTCTTTCTGATGCTTAGTTGGAATCTCCTTTCTTGTAACTTGAATCCATTGGTTCGGGTCCCAGCATGCGATGCAGGAAACAACAGGCTCGCTCCATCCTCCATGTGACAGCCCTTTAGATATTTTAAGATGGCTACCATATCTCCTCTCAGTCTCCTGTTTTCCAGGCCCAACTCCATCAACTGTTCCTTAGAAGGCTTGGTTTCCAGTCTCTTGATCATATTGGCTGCCTTCCTCTGCACATGTTCCAGCTTGTCAATATCTTTCTTAACTTGTGGTTCCCAGAACTAGAAATACATTAAAATGTCACACATTAAAAACTTCCCTGAACAGGGCTGCCTTCAGATATCTTCTAAATGTCAGGTAGTTGTTTATCTCTTTGACATCTGATTGGAGGGTGTTCCACAGGGAGGGTGCCACTACTGAGAAGGCCCTCTGACTGGTTCCCTGTAGCTTTGCTTCTCGCAATGAGGGAACCGCCAGAAGGCCCTCGGCGCTGGACCTCAGCGTCCGGGCAGAACAATGGGGGTGGAGACGCTCCTTCAGGTATACTGGGCTGAGGCCGTTTAGGGCTTTAATGGTCAACACCAACACTTAGAATTGTGCTCTGAAATGTATTGTGATCTGGACACTATAGTTCTGTTGATGCAGTCTGGAATATTATTAGCATATATTTTTTGCCGCTGCATCAAACTGTTGACCCATGTTAAACTTGTGGTCTACTAAGACCTCTAGATCCTTTCCACATGGACTATTGGCAATCCAGATGTTTCCCATTTTATATTTGTGCAGCTAGTTCTTCCTACCTAAATGCAGAGCCTCACATTTGTCCCTATTGAAATCCACACTTGGCTATGATGCTCACTGGGTGGTCTTCCTCAAGTCACAATCTTGCAGCCTAGCCTATCTCAAAGGGTTGTTGAAAGGCTTAAATGCTCACAGAAAGACCAATATATTAATGGAACAAGTGCCTTAGCATTATAGAAAAACTTTGATGTTTCTCCTGCGGTGGTATGGTTGACAGGTGCCTATAAATGTACAGTATATACTGCCAAATTCACACGGTAAAGGATGCAAAGACATGCTACAGCTGGGTAATATACAATACTGGTCATACTGTACTCAGAGTAGATAACTGATTTCAGTGGGTCTGAGTATGACTTAGTTGGAGTTCACTTCCACCACACATGCACCAAATAAGGGTGCTAATCTTGAAGTGAGATGAATGCGTATCAACACACACAAATGTGTGGAACTGAATCCACAAGTTCTCAAATAACAGTTTTTTTCTAACATTGTCACCAGACAACATGGATTGCAGGATTCTCTTCCATGCTTTACTCTCCAAGTTATTTTTGTTCTGAAGCCAATGAAATACATAACAGTGTATGTGTTCCATATTCCTTTTAACCCATGGACATTGTATACGCTCCAAAATTGTTATAAATATTTGGTTATGGGCTCTCCCATTCATTTGGCTCTGGACACATTACTGGTACCCCCGCCAATAGTGTTTGAAGCCATGTGCATATGACATGACACCACAGTTTTAAGAAGGATATTGACAAGCTGGAACGTGTGCACAGGAGGGCGACCAAGATGATCAAGGGTATGGAAACCAAGCTTTATGAGGAAAGGTTGAGGGAGTTGGGTATGCTTAGTCTGGAAAAGAAAAGACTGAGAGGAGATATAATAGGCATCTTCAAATATCTGAAGAGCTGTCACATGGAGGATGGAGCAAGCTTGTTTGCTGAGGCTTCAAGGGGTAGAACATGAACCAATGGATTCAAATAGCAAGAAAGGAGATTCCAACGAAACATTGGGAATAAGTTTCTGACAGTAAGAGCTGTTCGACAGTCAAATGGGCTCCCTCAGAAGGTGGTGGCCTCACCATCCTTGGAACTTTTAAGCAGAGGTTATGGGGCCATCTGTCCAGGATTCTGTAGCTATGATTCCTGGATTGTTGGGTCCTTTCCAACTCTACAATTCTATGGCTCTATGACATTAGCCACAATTTGTATCTGCCTTGTAATTTTTGAGAAATACAGCTGTTGGATGTACTTCCCCTCAAACCAGCTTCCATCTGATTTGAAAATGTAAGGCACATTCACTTCATGATGAAACTGTGATGTATACACTCGAAAACCAAAAACAAGTTCTCTCCCTATTGCTTCGACACATGTGCAAATGCCAGCTGTGAGAATAGGCGTTTTCCAGTGGGGGGGTAACAGGTGTAGTTGAAACCAAACAGGCAATGCATATTGGGTGAAGTCAACCTTACTGTGTTCTAAGTTGATAACCTGTACATAGTCTGCTTCTCATTCTCAAAGGCTATGTTGCAAGAAACTCAAAAAACAAAAACAAGTTCTCTCCCTATTACTGGGGACAATCTCCATCCCTGACCACGAACCTCTCCTTTGTTGTTACCAATGGCTCTGCTACATTCCCTCACCCCACAGCCCCATTCCTAAATACCTATCTGTTAGAAACACAACGATGCCAGCTTTCAGATAAGAAAAGGGAAATGGGGAGAGGGGCTGGGGAGGAAAAGAACGGGGAAGGCTGGAGTGACCAGGGACAAGGCATCAGAAAGGTGCACACTTTCTGCTTGCAGCAGGTGCAAACCTTCCTTCAGCATGGGGGCATATTTTGCTAGCTCTGCCCTATACTCCCCACCCCCCGCGATGCTAATCCCACCTTCCTTGCGTGCAACGCTTACTCTAAAGGTATTCTCCCGAAGAAGCAGTGATTCCTTTGGTACCGATTCGTCCCCCGCCCCCTCTCTTTCGACCCTGGGTCCCTCCCACCGCCGCGTCCCTCCGATCCTCCCGGTTAAGGTGGAAGAGGATGGCCGAAGCCACCTTAAAGGTAGCCTCGGGCAAGGCGGGCGCACCTCGGCGCTGCGGACCCCTAAAGCCCCACCGGGAGCCGGCGGCCCCTTCCTTCCCGCTCTCCCGGAAGCCGAGCTGCCGACTGAGGCAGGGGGAGAAGAAGAACGCGAGGAGGCGACCACGGGGGCTGGGTGGGCGGGGGAAGCGGCTGGGCGGGCAGCCCTCCTCCCGCCATTGGTGGGCGCCCCTCTCTCCCGGGGAGCCCGAGGAGGCGCCGATTGGCTGCCGGCGCTTGTCAGTCGGCGAGGGCCGAGTTCCATTGTTGGCTGGGCGTGCGGCGTGAATCGCTGCTGCTGCTGCTGCCGCGGCGGCTGGTGCAGCTGCGGGGAGAGCGGGGCTGGCGGCGCGGCGGCGGCGGAGGGAGAAGGGATGCTGGCGGAATGGGCGGCCGGGCAGGAAAGCGGCGAGCGGGAGCCGGAACTCCGCTGAGAAGCGTCCGCGCTGCTGCTGCCAGTCAAGGGAAGGACGTGAGCCGAGCCCCGCCGGTGAGGTTTGGCGCCGGGCAGGATTCTTTCTGGGTGTGTGTGTGTGTATGTATTGTGGCTGTGCGTGAGGGGCAAGATCTCCCCGCGCAGCATCCGTTGTTGGAAGGGCTGGACTCGGGCGGCGCAGGGCAGGGGATCGGCCGCTCCCGGGCAGGGCAGGGCTGGGCTGGGCTGGGGGGCGTTGAGCAAGATGTCTGGGCGAGGGGCGAGCGCGGCATGGGCGCCTGGAGGGCTTGGGCGCACTTGGCGGGGCAGAGGCGCCCGGCCGCCTCCGGAGCATCGCCCTGATGCTCGCATGCCCTTCAAGGAGGCTTCGCCGGCAGCCGGAACGCGAGGACGAAGGAGCATCCAGGAAGCCCCGCAGATGGAACTTTATTGGCCTAATTAAAAGAGGATTTGCATGGCGAGGGGAAGCGCGGATTGGCAAGGCAATGCCCTGGGCGCAGGTTGCTGGAGAGCAAGAGGGTTTGCTTGTTTGGGGGTTCTTTTTGCTTCTTGCAAGCGAAACTTCAGCTGGAGCCGTGGCCTGGCGGGCTTTGCCCCGCAGCCCATGCCCGAAGTTGAGGAGGCGAGCCCCTGGACTGATCTCTGCTAGCAGCTTCGACCTCCTCAGACCTTAGGGTGAGTCAGGTAGGCAGCCGCCCAACTCCTTCCCTGCCCACCTCTGCCTTGGTTCCAATACCTATAGATCCACCGTGTGGATTCAGCTCGCCTACTTTTCTGGAGCTTTTCCCGTGTGTGAGAGAGTACTATCGGAGGCGTGTGTTTGGCTGGGGGTTGGTGGAGAAGAGCAAGCTTTTGTTTTCATGTCTGAGCGAGAGAGTTGAGAAGTCCAGTGGCTCTCAGCTGTGAACTGTCAGTTCCCCACAATGGGATGCCGGATTATTTGCCAGCCTGCACTGTTTGACTTCCAAAGTGTATTGATGTCAGGGCAGCTGCTACTTTGCTTTTTTCCCTCCCAAATAAGATGCGGGGATTTATTTATTTATTTTAAAAGACAGATTGCCAATTAAGAAAACAGCGTTAACCTTCTGTTTTTGTAACCATCACCGCAGGGGATTGGGTTTGATTTTATTCTCCCACAGAAATTGCGTTAAATGAAAAGGGCTTTTTTTGTTCCCAACTCTGCTGATGGCTAATGCTGGTTGGTTGGTAGATTTGGAACCTTGCAACTTTGGGAAGTGGATGGGATGGCCCATTGATGCTTGTTCCTTAATAGTTTTTTGAGGATTATTATTTTTAAAAGAAGAACTCCATGAATATTGATCCAAGAGGAGGTAATGGTGTTAGTCTGTTGTAGCAACGTTGAAGAAAAGGTCTTGTGGCACCTTTCGAAAAGCTAACTGATCTTGTGGTATAAGGTTTCATGGATGAGAAGTCGCTTGCTATCCTATACAAAAGTAAGTCTGTGAGGTTTACTCTCAATTAAATGTGCATTGGATTGTGGCTGCAGCCATATGTATCCTCTTGAATATAACAAAGTGGGTTGCTTGTAGCAACAAAACCTTTTGGCATGATACATTGTAAGTCTTAAAGATACATCAGAACGTTCCCTGTTTTTTCCTTAGAGATATGCAACCTAATATTAAGCAGTTTTTCTCAGAAGTAAGGTGAAGTAATTCAGTGACACGTCAGTCGCCTGTTTGTCTTCTCGTGGTTCTTTGAGGGGTAAAAGCAATACAGAAATGAAGCAGAAAAAGCTACTCTGTGCATACTGAGAAAGAGCCAGCTAGTGGTCAAAAGACACTTGCCCAAGAGCTATTTAAAGAGAATAGCAACTTGGCTGAAATTTTGTTTGCAGAAAGTTTATTACAAAATCCCTGACCTTGACTTGCAGATAATAATGTGCAGTGCTGCTCTTGGCATGTTTACTCTGAAATAAGTTCAGTTGCGTTGGGGGGGGGGCTTACTTCTTTGTAAGCGTAGTTAGGATCACAGTATTAAATTCTTCCAAACCTTAGGTCTCACCAGATGAGTTCTGGATTTACTGGGATGTGTTCTTTCTTCTTGAAGACTGGAAGCAATAAAACAAAGCAAAACTTCAGCTTATCCAATGGTCTAATATGTTGCTCTGTTGGCTCCAATCTTGTACACACTTCCTAGGGAGTAAGCACCGTGGACCTCAATGGGAACTTACTCCTGAGTAAATATGCACAGGCTTGGGCTGCAGAACACTAGATTCTGAGTTGGTTAGTAGTGTTTTGTCATCTTAGCATGCATTGGTTGTTCTCATATCTTTCTTAAAAAGGAACGACTCCATGATGCAAAACATTAACTCTCTAATAGAGCAGTAGCTAACCCTCATAATTACGAGGGTTATAAACCCTCTTTATTTTTATTTTTTATGGTGCTTAATGCTTCTAAATTTTCTGAAGCATTGTGCCACTGATGTAATTAGCAGCCAAACACCAACACATTGGGGAAAGTGTAGCATATCTATGATCTTCCATCTGATGTAGAGTCTAATCTACATACCATTCTAATGATTTGTTAAATAATGGATTGTGATCTGCAGATACCTTGGCCTTATTAATTCAAAGCCAGTGGTGGAATGGTAGGGAGACTGCTCAAATATTTAAGATGGTATTTTGTTCTGCTAAAACCATCTGGTTCCCTGTTGGCATTTTTAGCTCTGGAAAAGTCTCACATAGTTTAGAAGTCTAGGAATGTGCCATGTTGCTTATGCGACCTCCTTCTCTAACACACATGAATTCTCTTCTCTGTTTCCAGGTTGTACTATCCACACTTTCCCTTGATGTCTGAATGGGGTAAACCATGGTTAGCATTCACTAATAATTCATGTTTTGCAAACCGACATCAAACCATGGTTTCAAGTTGTGCTTTGTTTGAGTGTTAGCACCAATCATGTTTTCCTTGATTCAGACTTGGATGCTACATTGGAAAGCTGTGGTTAGGGCAACTTAGAAATGGATGAGTAATTGAAGTATGAGGGAGAGGGAAGAGGATGGAGTGTTTAAACCCACAATACACTCCCAGACCTCCAAAACATGGTGCAACCTGGGTTACTGTGTCTTGGTTGGATGCACAAATCCATTGATAATAGTTGAAAAACTAATGGGAAGTTAATGAAAGCTACATATTGACACCAGTGGGCTTTAGAATACTTAATCCTTTGGTCAAATCAGGTTGTCACTAACAGCATGTTTGTGTTTTGCACTAATAAGCTTTTATAGCTGAATTGTAAATATTAAGGGTAGGTTTTAATACTCAGTGCTTTCCTTGGTCCCTATAAAACACAAATCTTCTGCCCTGCAATGCACTTATCAGAGAAAAATATATTTATTTACAGGAAACAGAACTGAAATGGTACTTTATCAGATTTATGAATTTTTGTCATATGGTGCTAAAAAAGTGTTAAACTGATGTGATGCAGTTAATGAAATCTATTTAAGATTTTTTTCGGTAGCTAGGTATGTTGCAGAGAGCTGTGTGCAGTTTGTTCTATTCCTACCTAGTGCTTCCATTCTAGTTTTTCCTGACCTACGCCACTGGGTGCAGTCAGTGTCAATTTTTTCTAGCGGTTTAGTGACATAGACAAATGCTGTTTTGTCAAAAGGCAAGGTTGAAACCCCCAAACTGATTTTCCTTGTGCCTTACATTGTATATTGGGGCTTCAATCCATTGTTCATTTGATTCCTGCGTACTCACTTGGGAAATCCTATTTACTTCAGCGCAATTATTCATCTGAATAGAAATATAGGAAATCTCCCTTATTTTTATTGTATTGCCTTACCTCTTAAGCTACTGGTCCTCTGGGCAGCTATTGCGTTTGGAATTACAAAATAATGGGTTGTCAACAATGCTAGCCCTACTTGGAGTAAACCCATTAAAACTAAGGGGCCTAAGTTAGGCATGTGTATTAATTTCAGTGGGTCTGCTCTGAGTAGGACTAGCATTGAAAACTACTTGGTGCAAATAAGAATGATATTATAAGAATAAGAATAAAATCAAAGCAACGTAAAAGTAATTCATAACACAAAAGCTTCCATTTCAAAGGCCTGATGAAAGGGGCATTTCTTTGCCCTAAATGAAATGGATCTGGTAGGGAGCCAGCCCTTAAAAGACCGTGTGCAGTGCAGATACATCAAATAACTAAGGCACACCAAGTTCATTGAGGCTTACTCCCTGGTAAGCAGCCACAGGACTGCTTCCTCAGTGTATGGTATTGTTATTTTAATGGATCAAGAACTTTTTTTTTACATTATGACAATCCTTTGTGTTCAAATTGTTGAATACACCAAACTTAACCACAATAAAGCTGTAAATGCTACTACTACAGAATAACTATTTTTTAAAAAATAAAAATGACTCAACTACCACAGGGCATATTTGCCATATTTTTTGTGTTTTGTCTTTGCATTAAAGTATGAAATGTCAAAAAGAGCATTCAGTTTCCATTCTGCCTTTCAAAATGGTAGAAGAAATATAAGTTTCTTCTGAAAATATATTTGAATCCTATTGCCTGGATAATTAGCAAGCTACTATATTTCTTTGAAAAAGAAACTTCCTTATTTTCCTCATTGCACGAATGGGATGTAAACAATTAATTTATGTATGTGTTCGGCTTTTTAAAAAAATGGAATGAAACAGTCATTTTTGCACATGCCAACCTGCTGCCTGATTTAATTGCCCAAATAAAGATTATATCACAGCACTAAAATCTCAGTGGTGAAATTGGCAGCAATAAAGCGACTTACCAGGGTACAGCAGGAGAAAACAAAGCCCTTAAATATTGTGTTTGTATACAACAGGTCGAACTACTAAAGTGGTTTTTAAGAAGTGCAGAGGTGTTCTTCTTGTTAATTTAGTAATTTTATGAACCCTTCAAAATTGCGTTCTGACTGACATGGGAAAGTTACTCTTCTCCTTGAACTAAAGTTAATTGGTGACATCTATGTCTCCCATTGAAATGATGTTTTTATAAATGCACTTTTTTCAGGCACGCAGCAGACCTCCCACGGGCTACCAAGGCAACCAAGAGACGAAACTACACTGATCTGTCAGTTGCTGCCTTACATCTTCCAAGTTACTTGATGGTTTTCTTTGGGACATGCATAGATTATCCTTCATTTGCATGAAGGAACTCTGATCTTGGTTAGAAGAACATTTTCCTAATTTCTCTGATGCCCTCCCACCACCACCACCTAGTCTGAGGTCTGGATTCTTCGTCCAAGTCACTCCACATACATCAAGACAGGTGTTTTGATGCATAACCATGTAATGGCTTGCAAAATCAGTGCACAACTCAAAAAGACCAGCTGGGCAATTGTCATCTAGTAGTCTCAGCCCCCAGAAAGAGTGGAAACGCAGAGTATATGAAGGTTCTGGAGACTGATGCCATTGTAGTATTGCTACCTATTTGTTGTATATTATTGTCTTCAGTGTGTTTTGACAAACTAAATTCTTTATCATTCTTCTTAGAGCAGGGGTGGGGAACCTTTGACCTTTCAGATGTTGTTGGACTTCAGATGTTTCTGTCCAGCCCATCCAGCTCAGCCAATGGCCAAATATGACAGGAGTTGTGGTCCTGTACTGTCGAGAGGGCCACAGATCCCCCACCCCAGGGTTAGAGAATTGGTCTCTCTATTACCATCTTCTCT